TCCTTGCTCCTAGTAGTACGGCCAGGAGCCCCTAGTAGCTTCTTGCTTGTAGTAGCGCTTTATGCGTCGCGCTATGTGATGGAAGCTTTGGTGAATGTCACGAAGACCAAGTCATGAAAGGACAGGGGAAGGCTTCGTCTTCAAGGGCACGGCAAGAAAGCATGATTCGCTGCTTCGAGAATTGATTAAGTCCAAGTCGAGCCAGTGGAGGGTCTATGAGAGAAACAATCTTTCTGCAACAAAGGGAACAATTTGCTACTAGTAGCTGCAGTAATGCCCTTGTTACTAGCGATGCTCCCAATAGCGATGCCCTTTGGTATTGAAGCATTATTCGTTATTACTCGGGGACGTACGTTGCAATGAGGGTGTCTGAAAGTGTCTTTTCTGGAACGTCAAACTCTGAGGTGTATATCCCCCGTGTCCAATCCCAGCTGGTGCGGGTCTGTGGGAAAAAATAGAAGGAACAAATCACTCCACTCTTCTTGTGCCTATTTTTTGTTTGGCGACCTGGCCCCCTAATAGCAATGGCCTCCGCCCTAATAGCAATGGCCTCCGCCCGAATAGCGATGGCCTCGCCCTAATAGCGCGTGCCTCCGACCTAATAGCGATGGCCTCTCCCTCAGATTGCTGAAAGTTCCATGTGCAAAATAAAAGCGCGAATGGCAATGCAAAGCGTTCGCATACACTATCGGGCGCAGTATCACCAGAGCCATCACTCCAGAAAAGCAGGCACGATTCTAGCGTCCTTTCTGTAGTATAAGGCCAGGAGCCCCTAGTTATCTTGAAAGCAAATCCGTGGTAGTTCGGCGCGTGTTGAAGCAGCTGGGCCGAACCAGTATCAACAATCAACAACACTCTCTAGTCCAATCGGCTATGATGCAAGACTTCCCCTCTGCAGCACTGCATGTCTAGCCACACCACCTAGATATATGCCTCTGATTCACAGGTTCCATCCAGTTGCTGGCATTTTTAGGCTTTGCGGCCTGCTGGGGACAAGCCGAATGCCGAAGCAGCCGACCATGCTCATATACCCAATGAAAATGCCCAATTGTTTTCGAGCACCTACTAGCGATGGCCTCCAACCTGAATGCCTAACGATACAAACATTCACAACTGTCGCCACTCTGGGCAACCAAACTGCCGACGCAGCCGTGGCCAAAGCTTCCGCGACTTGCTCTGAGGCCGTCCTTCAAGGTCAAGCCACGCACCGTTTCTTTGCGGTTGGAGGCCATCGCAATTAGGTTGGCCGTGACTAGGTTGGAGGCCATCGCAATTAGGTTGGAGGCCATCGCAATTAGGTTGGAGGCCATCGCAAT